TGCGGGCACCTGGGGCCCTGCTGGCCGCTGCCGGGCTGGCGGAGGCCGCCACAGAGATCGTGGAGCGAGTGGCCCGCGAACGCCTGGGCCACCACCTGCAGGGCCTGCAGGCAGCCTTCCTGGGCTGCCTGACTGATGTGCGGCAGGCGCTGGCCGCGCCTCGAATGGCTGGGAAGGAAGGCCCCGGCCTGGCTGAGTTGCTGGCCAACGTGGCCAGCTCCATCCTGAGCCACATTAAGGCCTCGCTGGCCTCTGTGCACCTCTTCACTGCCAAGGAGGTGTCTTTCTCCAACAAGCCCTACTTCCGGGTACGGCCTTTCCCTGGGCATTCTTTTTTTTTCCTTTTTCTTTTTCTGGGCATTCTTTTGTTCATCCTGCATGCAGGCTGGCAGCTACCAGGGCACACAGTCGTTGCCCCAGGCACTCTGAAAGTGGTTTTAGTTTGTCTTGAGGAAGGCTGGCACAGCCTGGAGGGGTGGGGAAGGCTTGGATGAGGGCATCTGCAAGCAAGGTCCCACAGTGCTGGCTTTGCCCCCTTGCATTCCCTCCCCATGCAGGGGAGCTGATCTGGGGTACTGGAATGCAGGGTGAAGCTGTCCCTTGGAGAGGAGCCAGGGCATTTAGTGTCCCAGTAGAGGGTCACTAGCAGCCCCTGCCTGGAAAACGGGACCTGCTGTGTATCTGGGCCCCTCCTCCTCACAGGGTGAGTTCTGCAGCCAGGGTGTCCGGGAGGGCCTCATCGTGGGCTTCATCCGCTCCATGTGCCAGACAGCTCAGAGCTTCTGTGACAGCCCTGGGGAGAAGGGGGGTGCCACGCCACCTGCCCTGCTCCTGCTGCTCTCCCGCCTCTGCCTGGACTACGAGACAGCCACCATCTCCTACATCCTCACCCTCACCGATGAACAGTTTCTGGTGCAGGTGAACTGCTAACTCATAGCAGGGTAGGGGATGCTGATGCTAGGACTGCAGGAGGCTGGGCAGTACCCTTATGGTCAGGGCTGCCTGTGCCCAGCTCAGCCTCCCCCAGTACCCACTACTTGTCTGTCCTCTGCATCCCTGGCTCAGGACCAGTCTCCAGTGACGCCTGTGAGCACACTGTGTGCGGAGGCCAGGGAGACGGCGCGGCGGCTGCTGACCCACTACGTAAAGGTGCAGGGCCTGGTTATATCACAGATGCTGCGCAAGAGTGTGGAGACGCGGGACTGGCTCAGTACCCTGGAGCCTCGGAACGTGCGTGCTGTCATGAAGCGGGTGGTGGAGGACACGACAGCTATTGACGTGCAGGTGCTGCTCTGGGCTGGCCGGGGGAGCCCTGATGCAGGTGGGGTGCTGAGGAACAACCCTCTGAGGATCAAGACAGCAGCGGCCAGGCAGTGCCCTCTTCGTCCTCAGCCGTGAATTGTGGCATTGTCACCCCCATTCCACCTAGGAGGAAGCTGAGGCCCAGAGTCACCCAGGAAATCAGGGCAGGGTTGGCACTAAAGATTGGGCCTCAGTATCAACTCTTATGGCCCACCTTTGCCCTGCTCCACTGGTTCTGCGAATAGTGACTGGGTACTGACTGGGTATAGGCCTGAACTACCCTGTGGCTCTTATAACAGATGTAATTCTTGTAACAAGTGAGTGTGTAACTTAAGGCATCCGTGGTCCTTCCCTAGGGTGCCTGGTGGGCTGGATGTTCCCCATGCCCTGGCTTCATTGCAGCTCCTCCTTCCACCACCAGGTAGGGCTCCTATATGAGGAGGGTGTTCGGAAGGCTCAGAGCAGCGACTCTAGCAAGAGGACCTTCTCCGTTTACAGCAGCTCACGGCAGCAGGGCCGCTATGCCCCCAGCTATACACCCAGGTCTGGCTGGTCAGGGTAGCCCCAGGTGGGATGGACAAAGGAGGATGGGCATACAGGGTGGGCTCTGATTGCTTGTCTCCCCCCATCCAGTGCCCCAATGGACACCAACCTCTTGAGCAACATCCAGAAGCTGTTCTCTGAACGTATTGATGTGTTCAGCCCTGTGGAATTCAATAAGGTCCGAAGTCCCTGGTGACCCTACCTTCCCAGGTCCCCTTGGGAAGTTTGGCTGAAGCAGTCCCACATTGGCCTAGGGAGCCCTAGGTCTCTGTCCCCCAGTCTCTGTTTCTGAGGGCTGTTTGTAGGAGTGAGTGGACATCCAGAGACCCACCATCACCATCTCATAACCCTCTTCCCTAACCTTGGTGTGCTCCCAACCTGGGTGACAATCAAGTATGCCTGTTTGGCCGTTGTCCTTGTCCCCACCATAGTTCTGGTCTTCCCTAGGGATTTCTATTCACAGTGTGCTCTCTGCCCCCACCCAGTCCATACTCAGGGATTTGGTGCTAAGTTAGTAAACCTTCCCCCTCCCCATGTCAGTGCTGACCCCCATCTCTGCCTCTGATTGCTAGGCCCTCTCTGTCTGCTCGGCGCTCCCTGTCTGCTCCCCTCTAGATGATGGTGCCAACATTGTATATTTTCTCCCTCTTAACTTGGGTCCTGAGATTTTCTACCCCATCACAGCTACTGGCATCTTATTGTCTCCCTGGCCCTGGCCCAGAACCTGGGTTCCCTTTCTCAGGGGTCCAGTACCCCTCCCTAACACCTGCTGTTGGGGATCTGCATCACTGTTTCCCTGCCTGCAGGTGTCAGTACTGACAGGCATCATCAAAATCAGCCTGAAGACGCTGCTGGAGTGTGTGCGGCTGCGCACCTTTGGGCGCTTCGGCCTGCAGCAGGTACAGGTGGACTGTCACTTCCTACAGCTCTACCTGTGGCGCTTCGTGGCTGATGAAGAGCTTGTGCACCTGCTGTTGGATGAAGTGGTGGCCTCAGCTGCCCTTCGCTGCCCGGACCCAGTGCCCATGGAACCCAGTGTCGTCGAGGTCATCTGTGAGCGAGGCTAGGCCCAGTCCCAGCCATACACGGGCTGGACCCGTCGCCCCAACCCTCCGGACCCGTGGTCTCCCTCCCCGGGGGCCCTTCCTTTCTGGCCTCCAGACTTGCCTAATAAAGACGTGTTGTCTCCTGCTCCCTGTCGCTTGTAAGGCGGGACTTGCGGCCGTGGGGTGGAGCTGTGAGCCTGAGACTGCAGAAACTACCCAGGCGGCTGGCCCTCGCGTTGGTCTCTCCCCGAGAGCCGATTGGCTGACCTGCTGGGCCCAGAATGGGCTGGGGGCGGGTCCATTTAAAGACCTGGGGACAAAAGCGGTCGCTGTATGAGCTCGGTGCCGAGACAGGTGCAAGCCCAGCAGGGCAGGATCCTCCGTGTTACCGAGCCAATCTCCTGGGGAAATGGGGTGGGCTGTGTTTCCTTGACGGATTTTTGTGATCCCTCACCCTCTCCACGGCGGAGCGAAGACAATGGCACCTCTTCAGGGCTCCCGGGCCCCGATGGAATTCGGAGGACCCCTGGGTAATGGGGCAGAGAAAGGGGGACTTACGGCCAGAGGCTTAGCGAGGGAGAACTGGAGGGGTGAGCTACGAGTGAGGATGGGAGCAGGATCTGAGGATGAAAGGCTTTGAGAGGTATCCAGAGGCAGAGGGATTTAAGGGTTTGGGGAGGAGAGTCTGGAGAAGGGGCTGAGGAGGAACCAGTTTCGGGGGATTCAGAGCAGGGGATTTGTGGATTGGAAGACTGGGCGGACTAAGGGGAGCAGGAGCAGAGTCTTCGAGAGTACCTGGGGGCGGTGACCAAGACAGAAATCAGAGAAGGGGGCTGAAGGCTGAGAACGGGATATGGAAGACGGTGATGGGGCCCTGTATATTACCGGGCGTCTGTGGGGGTCCGGGAGATTTGGAGAGCGGACGTCCCACGCGATCGGTCCCCTTCCCCAGGCGCTGCGGCTCTGATGCTGCTGCTCCCTGCCACCATGTTCCACCTGCTACTGGTAGCCCGCTCGGGCTCGGCGCGCCTCCTGGGCCCACCCCCCTACCTGCCGGGACTCGAGGCGCTGTGGAGCCCGTGGGCGCTGTTGCTGTGTCTTACCTGGCTCGGCCTGCAGGCGGCGCTCTACCTTTTGCCGGCGCGCAAGGTGTGCTGACGCGAGGGGGAGGCTGGGGGAGGCTGTGGGAGGCTGGGGGAGGCGGGTGGAGACTGGGGGAGGCGGGTGGAGGCGGGCGGAGGGAGGGTGTTCCGCGAGCCTGAAGGTACCCTCAACCCTTATCAGAGCCCCCTTGTGCCCACAGGTGGCCGAGGGGCAAGAATTGAAGGACAAGAGTCGACTGCGCTACCCCATTAACGGTGCCTGGGGACTGGTTCCTTGCGCTGGAGTTGGGTGGATGGGGGTGGAGCCCCGGGCCTGATGGGGGGGGGTCCACGGAGACCCCAAGCTCTATTTTGCGCCTCTTTTCCGCCCAGGACAGACATAGGGGATTCCGCTGGCTCCACACCCCGCGTCCCTCCTCCCCTCCTACAGCATTTGCTGCTACTCTGCACCGGAGAAGTGGCTGGGGTGACCGTCTGAAAGCCAAAGTGTCAGCCTAATGGCTTGGGCAAAGTCTGCGACCTCCCTGGGGTGGAGGGGCGTAATTTCCAGTACTCACTGTGTGCTGCGGTTCAGGTTTCCAGGCCTTGGTGCTGACAGCCTTGTTGCTCGGCCTGGGGATGTCAGCCGGGCTGCCCCTGGGAGCGCTCTCAGAAATGCTCCTGCCCTTGGCATTTGCGGCCACCCTCATCGCCTTCATCTTCAGCCTCCTTCTCTATCTGAAGTCTCTGGTAGTCCCTGCTTTTGCCCTGGCACCAGGGGGAAACTCAGGTGAGAGGAGTCCCAGTACGGTATGCATAGAAGCAGATGGGGCTGTTTGCTTTCACCTTCACCCTCCATTATTCTCCAGGAAATCCCATCTACGACTTTTTCCTGGGACGGGAGCTCAACCCACGCATCTGTTCCTTTGACTTCAAATACTTCTGCGAACTGCGGCCCGGCCTCATCGGCTGGGTATGCTGAGCACAGCTAAATGGGCCTCTAGCCAGGAGGAGGGGTGGGATGGGTGAGCACTGCCTGGGCAGGGCAGGGCAGGGCAGGGCCAATATTGTGCAGATGTAAATCATTAATCATTCATTCCACAAATCTTTGTTGAGTCCCCCATGTGCCCTAAGCTTTACTCTAGGTACTGGGAAACAAACAAACCCTGGAAATGACCTCATCCAGAGTCAGGAGAGCTGAGTGCCCATCATGGATCTGAATCCTGGTCTTTGAGGCTATTTCCTCATGTATGACATGGGCTAAAGTAAGAGCTTCCTCCCCAGGTTATTGTGAGGATCAGAAGTGATAACCTTAATGACAGCACTGAGCCCATTGCTGGCAGAATGGGGGTGCTCAGCACAGGCTGGCTGCCAGCTCATCGTGATCGAGCACTTACTATGTGCCAAACATGTGCTTAGTGCTTCACACACACTGTCCGTGAGTCCTAAGCCCCATGAGGCAGGTCCATGATTATGTCCATTTTCCACATGGAGGTGGGGAGAGTAGGCTTTAGAGGATAAGCAACTTGCCCTGGTGGCGAAGCTGAGATTCAAAACCAGGTTTTAACTCTCAAGCCTGAAAGCATCCAGCTGCTCCCTGTGTTGCTCTCCCAAAGGGAACACTACAGGACAAGGCAAGAGAGGACAGGCGGGGAGCGCCTCAGGAGGCGATCCATTGAGCCACTCAACAAAGGGTTGGAGAGCTAGTGATGGACAGCTGAGAGAAGGGGCAGAGGCTGGCCGCTGCCCCATCCAGGTGCTTCCACCACTGTGGAGACAGGCTGGGGATAGACTGCTCTGTCTCACCCTCCACCTAACCCCCAGGTCCTCATCAACTTGGCCTTGATGATGCAGGAAGTGGAACTTCGGGGGAGTCCTTCGCTGGCCATGTGGCTGGTCAATGGCTTCCAGCTACTATATGTGGGTGATGCCCTTTGGCATGAGGTGAGGCTGGACTGGGCAGAGGAGGCAGGGGTGGGTGCCTGAGGATCTCGTGGAGACTAAGCCAGTGTGTCTGGGTCCTGTCCCTGCAGGAGGCTGTCCTCACCACCATGGACATCATACACGACGGGTTTGGCTTCATGCTGGCCTTTGGGGACCTGGCCTGGGTACCCTTCACCTACAGCCTGCAGGCCCAGTTCCTGCTGTACCACCCACAGCCGCTCGGGTTGCCCATGGCCTCAGTCATCTGCCTCATCAATGGTCAGTCAGGATGGGGTTCATTCACTCAATGTTCAGCATCCACTGGGTAGATGCTAAGCCTCAGATGTTTCTTCAAAGCCAGGGGCTGGGTCCTGGGTCCCCAGGCCGACTGAGTCCGGGCTGTGGGTAGATGGTCAGGGTCAGATAGAAGGTCCCTAACCACCTGCTCACACTTTCCCCCAGCTGTTGGTTACTACATATTCCGTGGAGCCAATTCCCAGAAAAACACCTTCCGAAAGAATCCTTCTGATCCCAGAGTGGCTGGTGAGCTGGCTTTCCGGGTGCTGTGAGATGGGGCAGCTGACTTCGGGGGGGGGTCCCCCATCCCACTATCTCTCTTTCCCTAGACCTTGAGACCATCTCTACAGCCACAGGGCGACAGCTGCTGGTGTCCGGGTGGTGGGGTATGGTCCGTCATCCCAACTACCTTGGAGACCTCATCATGGCTCTGGCCTGGTCCTTGCCCTGCGGTGAGTGGCCTGGGTGGGCACAGGGCAGGAGCTACAAGGGGCAGCAGCTGAGTGGCGAGCACAGGATGCCCAGTCTGGGTATGGAATGGATAACAGGGAGGCATCCCAGTGGAGAGAGTAGTCAGGGAGCTAGGGATGGAGTTACGGTGTGGCTGGGACAGACCTCATTGCCAGCACCCCCTGTAGACCTTAGACCTTTCACCATTGAGCCCTGATGCCCCTGTGAGCCATTAGCTGTGGAAACCCTTGTGAACAGGGGGGCTGGCTGAGTGATTGGAAACCCCTTTCTCCACAGGGGTGTCCCACTTGTTGCCCTACTTCTACCTCCTCTACTTCACTGCGCTGCTGGTGCACCGTGAGGCCCGAGATGAACAGCAGTGTCTGCAGAAGTACGGCCTGGCCTGGCACGAATATTGCCGGCGTGTGCCTTACCGAATTATGCCCTACATCTACTGAAGCTGCTCCATGAAGCCCAGGTCGGGGCACGCACCCACCAGTCGGCCAGCACACCCAGCATCAAGAGCCTGGACACACCCGGGGCTCAAGGGCCTATACCCTATCCTGCCCCGAGCTCCAACAGGCAGGGATGAGCAGCCTCAGGCAGTGGTTGGAACAAGGGGAAAATGAAGCCTGTGCCTCAAAATGGAGTGGAGGGGCTGCTCTTTCTCTTTGGATAAATGTCTGGAACCCTTGGGGTTGCTTCTCTCCCTTTCTGGGGCCAGGCTGTCAGCCCCGATCAGGTAGAAGCTGAGAGGTGGTTTGCTTTGAGGACCCACGAAGAGTCTAGGGGTGGGTGGACCAGCTGTCATTCAGAAACGGGCACTGGCGACAGGACAGACCAGTCACACCTTTATTACTGACAAGGTCTCCAATTCAGCCAGGGAGTTCCTCAATGAGAGTCCTCCGGGCAGGTGGCAGGGGGCCTCCCCAAAGCTGCTCCAGCTCCCCAGTGAGGGCTGCCACTTCCTCGGCTGCCACAGTATGTGCTCGGTGGGCCCTGGCGCAGTCTAGAGCCAGGGGTGTGAGGGCTACCTCATTTTCGTTGGTCCAAGCCAGCAGGAACTGGCACTTCTTTCGGGCCCGGTAGAGGCGTTCTCGCTCTTCGGTGGCCATGGCTTGTTTTCGGGCCCGGCCCAGGGTCCGCGCCAGGTCCCCCAGTGCTGCTAGCGTGTAGCCTTTCTGGTTGGCCGGGCCCTCACCCAGTAGGATGCGGGCGGCCTCGCACATGGCACCCCGTGTGCCCAAGGGCCCAGGTGGATGCTCGCCTGCTTCTAGAACGTGGACTGCGGCCTGCAGGGCTTCCTCAACAGAGGTGAAGACTTGCTGAGCGCCTAGGGCTCCAGAAACGCCAAGCAGCGTGGCACAGAAGTCGGAGAGCAGCGCCTCGTCGCCGCCATGATACAGGGCAAGAGTGTGTGCATAGGCGAACAGCACGTTGGGTAGCTGGAAGCGCACGAGCGGCGATGCCCGGCCACCGCTCAGGCTGGCCAGCGTGGGGATCCGGGTGGGCACGGCGGGGGCGATGGGCCCAAAGACGTCTCCGAGAACCAGCTTGGCCGCCCCGGGCTCATCCTTTACGGGGTCTGGCGGCGTCCTCGCGGAGTCGGGCTCCAGCTCCTCAGCGTCAGGGCCCGGGGTATCACCCAGCTCCTCCAGAAGCCGCGGCTGGGCCCCGCAACGCCACCACCATGGCCGCCACGGAGGCAGCAGCCGTCCGGCCTCCCCTCGGCTCAGCAGCCGCTCGAAGGCCGCCTTGTCGGCCGGCGC